TTAAATTAGAGGGAAAAGGATGTGATTCCATGATTCTTTTTCAATGCTGACCATCGCTAGTACGTAAACACCCTTTTCTTATTCTACTTGCTATTTCAGAGAACCACTATCAATTTATATACTCAAAACTTGTGGAGTTTTTATTGAAATTTTTGTTTTACTATTGTAAGAGGGCCTGCTTTCTACAACCTCTTTATAAGACGTTTAGTTAATAAAGTTCTACATTTGTGAATAACTATATTCTGGAGTCTTCTGTATGAGTGGACAGGAGTGGGAAGACAGGAGTGCTGAGGGCACATGAGGGTAGTAGAGTGTCTCAGGCAGAGCCTGCAGAGAAGGTGATGAGTGGAGTCTGAGAATGAGAGGGAGACTTGCGCTCAGCAGGCCGCGGAGTGTTGCTGGAAAAGCCTCAACCTCAGCTTTGGAGCATCAGGCATCTTGTGAATATCTCTGGCCACTGCATGGTGCATAGGTACTGATGTGGGGGTAACGGCCCGTGTTCTTCCTTTTCTGTCCCATTCATTGGGCAGGGACTTGCTATTTTAAGGCTGAGTTGCTGAATTAATTCCTTGTTTAGGCACCAGGGGACAGAGGTTTGCTACTAGTTTAACATACTCCAAAAGAACAAGGTCTTTCCTTGTCCGTGGCTTGTTATTTCACAAGGGTGGATTGTAGGTTGCACTTTTTCTTTACTATGGACCATGTCTTGTAAGAAGTGCGGATGCTAAGGAAGCTTGGAGGGCAGGAAGGACCCACCAAAGTCACTTGGAGAGCTTCTTATTCCAACATAAGCTAGTGTGACCAGGGCCTGGCCTGCAAAGAAAACAACTTCCTACTTGTGTTAAACTTTATTGGAGTGCAGAGGAGTAGCACAGGGAAGGGGTAGGGTGTAGAGGAAGAAAACAGAAGGACAGACTGAAGCGGGATGGATGCTCAGAAAAGGGATGGCTTTCATTTGCTCCACAGTACAGAGTGCTACAGATAAGCCAAGCACATCCCCTCCCGATCTCATTTCACTAGGGTTTGTTTTCCCCCCTCAAGCTGTCTTGAAGAAAGCTATCTGACCGGCACCCCTCCAGCTATTGCTGTGTTTTTATCTTCTCAGCTGGGGCTTTGTTATGTCTGCAGAGTTATAGTAAGCGGGAAAACTGATGGGCCCGCAGCTGTGCTGGTGGGTGGCATCTCAAGGCAAGGAGTCGTGGATTGGATTAGCCCGAGGAATACCTTCCAAAGGGAGGCTGGAGACAGGCTTTCCTATTACTTTCAAAACACACACAGAGGGAAAGGGGGGGGTAGGAATTTGGGAGAAGCCGAGAAGGGGAGATGGATAGGTTCTTTTGTGTTGCCTGGCACAGGGGGTCATCTCAGTAGGATGGGAAGGCAGTGCCAGGGCAGGTCAGCAGCCACCCCTGAGCCCCCGGGGAAGGGACTCTAGAGAATCTGCGATTCTTGTGTTCTTGGCTTCCTTTTGAATTTCCCTTGTCTCCAAGACCCATACTGTATGTGAGCCTTGTCCTGCAGGGAGGGAAGGGTGGACACAGACACTACACTTCACACGGGCGTGGTGTGTACTTGCTGAAGACTGCGGGCTGGGAAGCTGTTCTGTTTGCTTTCTCCCCTCCCCCTTTTGTTTTGCAGCTTGCTGCTCTCCATCCCTGTGCCCTCTTCCTTTCTTCATACACACCAACTGTACAGTGCGCCTGCCCTCCTCAGGAAGGCACCATGTGGCTCCAAAGGTTTGGGTAGAGTGACATGAGAAACCTTTAGACATCTCCTACAGATAGCACACCCAATGTCTTAAAGATGTGAGCAGACTTCATCCGGTGTTCTCTGGATGTTAGTATCCCAGATGCTCCTCCAGGACACATGCAACTTGCATCGCTTACCAACAAATATTTGTGCAGATGGCTTGGTCCAGCTGTGTCTACTGTCCCCTGCTCTTCCCCCAACTCTGTTCTTTATTCTAATTAGTAGGTTCAGACATACTTGGCTGGCTGTTTATTGAATGTCCGCAAGCCATTCCCCTCAATGGGACTTGACCATGCAGTTTCTGCCTCCCCTGCCTCTACCACACCATGCCTGGCTCCACAGAGTAGAGGCAATAGCTCAGCCTCACAGTTCTTTCCCAGGCTTCTCCTGTGGTGGGCTGTCACCTCAACGAGGGTCTCACTCTGCCCTTCTTGCTGAGTCACTTGGGGTACTGACCCACCTACTTAGTTATAAAATCCCTTTCCTGTATGACGTGAGCGTAGCCCAGGAAACCTGCTGGGTTCTTACTATCTTGCAATTAGATTTTTAAGTGGAAATATGTTTGATACGTGACCTGGAAAATCCTTTCCATTTTACTACCTTAAATAGGTGTTCATTTCCCCAAGGGGGAAAAGAATCTATTTTATTCTTACAGTGGAAAAATTAAACATAATTCACTATGATAGAACTCTGTGATAGTTTTAAAATGCCAAGAGTCTGGACCAAAAAGGTAATTTAACTTTTAGTCATCTGTGACACGCATCCAAAGCCGTTGATATGATTTGTATTTGAGCATCAAAAGTTCTCATAAATATACAGTCACTTCAATAAATCCACCAGAAAGTCTTTTTGTCATGTGAAAAAAAGCAAGTTTTATTTGCTGGCCCTACAATATTTTAAAGAGCTGTATTTCTTGGGTTTGTCTAAGTCCCAGTGAAGAATTTGAAGGTAACTGAGAAATATAATACATTAGGAATGATTTCTTTACTCAGTATTTTACTGTAAATTGATTGTGTTTTCAAGTACAAACTCATTTTTGCTATTATTGCTATAATACAAAATCCTATTAGAATATGTTCCTTGATATAAATTTTAACTACTTTCCATTGCCAACATATTAAAGTAAAAGATGTTTACATGCATCCATTCAAAACATATTTGTGATTGCATCTTCTGTGCCAAATATTGCCCTTAACTGGGGAAAACAAGAGAACTTGCCAGACAGAAACCTATTTCTCTTCTGGTGTAGGGAGACAGGTAGTGAACATAATAAGTAAACAAACACACAAACAATTGGTGTATATTATAAATAATGACCCTTTGCGCTCATAATGGTCCTTTGCCGCTAGGGGGACAACCTACTGCCATTATTCTGCTAAATGATCATGATATCAAACTACTTTCTAAATATTTATCCTTATATCCACAGGTTGTATCCATATAGCTCTCAGCCCTCATAGAGACTTCTTATTGCAATACATGATGGTTAACAGACAGCCTCATAAACCAGTGCAAGTGCAGGAAACAAAGACTGTGGCATGCTCAGCCCCAAGCAGGACAGCTTATCCTTTCTTCCTGGCGAGTCTCAGAGAACACTGTAGACAAGGGCTTGGGAAGATTGTATGGGACTATGATCAGGGAGGACTATTGCAAAATAAGATCTTCTGGATATAAACATGGCTGTTACCTCCTGCCAGCAGCTGTGGCTTCCTGAACAAGATCAAGCATGGATGGGGGGAGGGGGTTCATGAAGCCTCATCCTACCTGAGAAGAACTGGGAGTTGATGAGTAATGGGGAGGGAAAGTCAAAGGGTATGGTCTCTAGTAGACTGTCTATGCTCCACAGGGCAGCTCTGTACTTGTAGACCTAAATTTCACTCTCAGGGTTATAAAGAAAACAAAACAAAACAAAAAAAAAAAAAAAAAACAAAAACAAAAAAAAAAAAAAAAAAGAGGATATGAAGTTGTGAGGAGGAGGATGTGGAGGAGGTCTGGAAGAAGTTGGAGCATGGTAAAGGGATGGGTATGATCAAAATACATCATATACATGTAAGACAATTTCAAAGAATAGAAAAATATAAAAATTCATAAAATGATTTGTAAAGAAAGAAGAGAGCAAAGGAGAGGGCGGAAGGAAATGAAAGAAGTTCCTTCTAGAAAAGAAACATCGAAGGTAGAAATAGTGGGGGGGGGGTACTTCTGTTCCTTCGGTTTCAATAGGGCACAGTTATTTTCAACACCAATGTTCGGGGGCCAGACTGCAATAGTTAGGAGCACAGGCTAGTCTTAGAGAAGTCCTGGGTTCTGTTCCAAACACACAAATGGCAGCTCAAAAAACACCCGCAGTTCTGGTTCCAGGGTTTTTAATGCCCCTTTCTGGCATCCACAGATGCCAGGTACACATGTGGCACACACACATACATGCAAGGAAACACGCATACACATAAACAAGAAAGAAAGGGCACGGGGTTTGGGTGCTGTGTGGGAAGGTGAGGAGGAACTGGGAGGAGTTGGGGAAGGGAATCTATAATCAGAATACATTCTATGAAATTTTTTTCAATATAAAAGAGAAAGTGCACATAACAATTTAATAAAAGTACACTTCTATTTGAATAAAAAAGATGATGACCCTTCTGAAAGAAAACCTAACAAGCCTACATGCTTTTTATGACACAGACCAAACTTTATCAACATTTAGAATTCCTAATATAAATGAACAGCTACAATACAATGTTATAATTTAAATTTATGTATGTTTTAGCATCATGTAGTGTTAAAACATTGTGTTATTGGACATGTCCATATCAAAACTTCATTTTCTTTCCAATATAAGCTCATGAGGTAGGGTTTGTTCTTTCAGCTATACACATGAGAACTCTTGGATGTGGACAGACTCTAAAAAAAAAAAAAAAAAAAAAAAAAAAAAAAAGCAAATAGCAGAGCCTGAATCCAAATCCATGCTTTTGATGCTCAATCTATCTCCCTGCTCCATCGAGCACTCCTAGTACTTAGTACTTTATTACAATAACCCACCTTCGCTTTACCTAAGGTGATATAAAGATTTCAGATTCTGAAGTCTCTCCAGTAAAAATAAAATAATGTGCTCATCTATAAAAAGGCACTCAGATAGTCTAACAAAGTGATTTCTGAGGAAGACCTTTGCAAATCTCTCAGTAAGAAAGACAGGCAAATAATTCTGGACAGCAGGGTTGTGAGCTTGGAGGTGAGATGTAGCGGACAACAGTGGCTAGATGTATGATCCCGCCAAAGATATGCCTTTGAAACGGAAGATGTCATCACAAGCTCTACTTCCCAAAGTCTGCTTCTCACACTTGATAACCCTGCATTTGTTGGTGCAGTTGACTAATAGTTTGCACAGTGTCTGTTTCACTTACGTAGTATTTGCACCTGTCATTGAACTAGCTAAAACTGTCCCTGCCCTTTGGTATTGGGCCATACTGCTGATACAGTGTGTTATAAATATTACAAGGACAAGAACAGTTTATACTACAGGATACTGTTTTACTGACAATCTCATTTCCTTCATTTGCTAGAGTCTCAGAAGTGAATTAGAATTTCAGGTCAAGTTATGGGGGTTATAATAAAAACACAGCCAGCAGAACTACACTATTTAAAATGTGTCCAATAACCAAATGTGCTGGTAGAAGTTACACAGCTTCAGTCGCTATTGGTTGAGTGAAAAAAGCGGAGTGGTAGCTTTCAAGCCGAAAATGACTGGAGTTTAAAATACTCTCTGCTCAGGTCCAATCCCTGCGGTCCTTCAGGCAGCTGAAACAGCAGGAAGCATCCTGTGGTTAGGGAAAAAATAGTGCAAGAAGGGAAATTCTGGATCCTTGTATTTCATTTGAGTGTCACTGATATATTTGGAATTATCTGTCTTCCCCTTCCAGCCAGAGGCCCGTTTGTTTATTTTGGCCTGGCAAGGGCCACACAGTCCCTATAATCCCAAATCTACCAAAAGTCACAGCCTGTGCTCAGTTGCAGACACTTCTTATGAGTTTATCATTCAATTACATTTTCTCAGGAATCATGTCCCAGTTTGCAGATAAATTCTTGGAGTGTAAATAGTGTGCTGGTTAGTTTTTGTCAGTCTGACACAGAATAGAGTTATTTGGGAAGAGGTAAATTTGAGACTGGCTTGTAAACAAGTTAGTGGGGGTATTTTCTTTATTAATGGTTGCTATGCAAAGTGCAGTCACTGTGGGTACCAACCCTAGTTGGGTGGTTCGGTGTCCCTTCCTGGTTTCTGTTGTTTGCCTCTAGGTTCCTACCTTGAGTGTCTGCTATGGCTTGTAGTCAGTGATGGACTGTAATCTCTGATCCAAGTCCTTTCTTCATCCAGCTGGTTTTGGTCAGTGTTTTATTCCATTAATTACATTACATTACATTACATTAAAGCAAACTAAGACAATTTCTTTATCCACAAAACACAGTATTTTTAGCAATGGAGGAAGCACTGCTTAAGTATGTTTTTCCCTAAGTACCATGCATAGAAGTTGATTATGTTCTGTTGCTTCGGGTGACACTCATCACACTTGCACATAGCTCAAATGCGGAACATTTCTTGGCTCCTTGTTCTTTACAATACAGCATTATTTTAAAAACACAGAGACAATACCTGCTATATGGAAAGCATGGCTTTAAGTACTTTGCAACTCTTGACTCTTTCACCCTTGTAGCACTCCCAGAAGAAAGATATCGTCAAAGATAGTGCTAGAAAGACTAGGTGACACATTTGTATTCTGGTTTTCACTAGGATTGGACCATACATTTGCAGAGAGCAAGAGTTTGCAGCTAAGTCATCAGTGTCTCCTTCTCCTCCTCCCTTGACCATCGTAACCCCACTCCCTCCAAGTCTTGTCCTTATTTTCTTCTTTCCTTTCTTGAACTGCCTCATTGTGCACTTTGGCTAATCTTGAACTCTTTATCATCTTGCTTCAACCTCCTGTGAGCTGCAATTGGATAGGTGTCATCATGCCCAGCTAAGTATATTTCTTCTTTCCATAGATATCATTGAATATTTTGATTCTGCACTACAGTCCATTGATTTGAGTATCCACACTTACTAAGTATACGCCATGCACAGTGTTCTGTGATAGACATTAGAGATAAACCAACAGGGTGAGCGAGGTCCAGAAGGAGCTGACATGGCAGAGAAATATAAAATCCTTCATAAACACTGATTGTGCTGTACTTGTCAATTATGTCAATTTGATACAAACTATAGTCATCTTTGAGGAGGGAATCCTCAACTAAGAAATGACTCCCATAAGACTAGGCTATAGGGCATTTTCTTAGTTAGTGATTGATGTGGGATGATACCTCAGCCTATTGTGAATGGTACCATCCTCTGGGCTTGCAGTCCTGGGTCCTATAACAAGTCAAGCTGAGCAAGCCATAAGGAATAACCCAGTATGCAGTACTCCTCCATGGCCACTGCATCGGACTCTAGGTTCCTTCCCTATTGGACTTCCTGTTCTGAATTCTGTTGATGACAAACAGTGATATGAAAGTGTAAGCCGAATAAACTGCTTGCTCCCAAAGTTGCTTTGCTTATGGTGTTTCATCATACCAGTGAAAGCACTAAAGATACTGATGGAAATATGTAACACAATTAAACATTTCTAACATAGATAGTGACTGGATGTTTTGGGATGGTTTGGAGTTGGATGGATGGATGGATGGATGGATGGTTGGATGGATGATGGATGGATGGATGGATGAGATGATAAAAACCTTATAGACAGGAGGCCTTTCTAGGGTATATATTGAGCAAGTGATAAAGAACAAGCTGGAAACCGGGTGTGGAAATACTTGGGTTATACAACCAGCAATAGAAAGCTGTAAGGAGTATGGGTTTTTCCGCCTGCTGCCGCTGGTCTTATCCCGCTGCCGTGCCAGCCCCAAATAATACACAGAGACTCTGTATTTGATACAATGTTATTGGCCAGGTGTTAGTTTCTTATGGGCTAGCTCTGTCTTAATTATTAACTCATTTCTATGTATTTCCACGTGGTCTTACCAGCAAGAGGAGGCTGGTGGTTCTAGTCTCTCCAGACTCTCCATCTTGACTCCTCCTTCCTACTTCCTCTTCCTCCTTGTCTCCTAGTCCCTCCTATCTTGCTTTCCTATTGGCCAACAGTGCTTTATTCATTAACCAGTATGAGAAACATATATACATAATGGCATCTCCCATCAAGAAAGCAGCTCCTTACAGACTTGTGGTATGAGACAAAGAAGTGGATTTGGGAACTGGAGAGATGCCTCAGTGGTTAACAGCAATTGTTCTTTTCCAGAAGACTATAGTTTGGGTCTCAGCACTCATGTCAGGTGGCTCTCAACCCCCCCCCGAATCTCCAGATTCAGGAGACCTGATACTCTTTCCTGACCTCCACAGGTACCACACATAACTGCACATAGTCACACATATACATACACAAAATAAATAAAATCTTTTGAAAAAATAAGTGAAATCAACCTAATTTGCTAATGGAAACAGTGGTTAAGGAAATTAAACACTTAAAATCATGGGCATCTTATGCTTCCGACCGGCTAACTGGACAAGCTCATGGATAGCTATTCAGAGTGATTTCCCCTCCTTTCCAGCACCCCCTTTGCCTTCTCCTCTTTGCCTTCTTATATCTCTTACCTGACCATTGTCCAATCTCATCATCTCCAACAATGAGCCAAGTTCATTTTATCAAGGTTTCCTTTGGAGTCTCAGAAAGATACTCAGTATCTACCACTAAGATATTGTAAATTAATTTAAATTTCTGCCACTTTCCTACCTGTGTATCCAAAAACTCCCTTTATTCATGGAATAACCTAAGCACTGTAGTGAGAAAGAAGAACATGCAATTGGGGCAGCAATAAACTACTGTGGGAAGAACTCTGAATTATTAAGTCTCAGCAGCTCTTGTTGGCAAACACTTAAGACTCTTCCAGGTGCGCCAAGGAAAAATGTCAACTTGTTACAGTTTGGAGGTACAGTCCATCATTGTTAGGAAGGCATGGCAACAGGATGGGGAGGTGGGGGGGGGGAAGGGGCATGAAAGAGCTGGTCGTATTGTGTATAGCTCTATGACACAGAGAGAAGTGAATGCTGATGCTCAACTTGCTTCCTTATTATACACAATTCAAAACTCAGAGCTGATGGAATGATGCTCATATCATTGGGGCAAGGCTTCCCACCTCAGCTAAGTCAAACATGCCCAAAGGTGTGTGCCATGGGATTCTAGATCATGTCAGGTTGGCAATCAACATTCACCGTTACAGAGAGCACTGACAGCCTTTTAGCTCAGAGTCTTTTTTAACAGTGTCCTGTCCTCTCCAAGTTCTTGTGCTATATCATGTTTGTCTAAATCTGATTAGAAGATAGAGTAGTTGGGACTCCTCTGATGACAGTCATTACTGTTAATTTCTGTTTTCAGCTACCCTGTCTTTCCAGGCACCAGTTTTCCCCAAGGAGCTCTGTGTTTTTAAATGTTCATCTCACCATAACAGTGAGAGCCACTCAGCTGACCTTCAGCACTTGCCTGAGATTTTCAATGCCCTTGTGGGTGAATGGAGAGTTGCTGTGTTTCATTCCCAGAAGAAATGGGAAGGATAACTTTCTGAATGTCCTTGGTGTATGTTGATGATGCCCTTCAATGGGAATGGACTATGTTTTCACCTTGAGTTTTTATGTCTTCTTTTTTCTTAGATTGAAGAGTTGATTGAGGCACACTTTGGCGGTCGCAGCAGAAGGGCCATCCTTTTCAGGTCCCCTTCACACAGCAGAGCAGAGCTTCAGACCCTCCAGCACCTTCTTGATCAGCATGGCTATAGTGTTGTCATTGCTGAAGAAAGACTTGGTGCTGGCCTAGGTCTGAAGCTGTTGGACCAAGTTCAGAATAGTAAGTAACCCTTACCCCACATATGAACAGATTCTAGACTATGCTGCTAAATTTCTTTCTCTCAAACTGTTTCACAAAACAGAATTTTATCTGCAATCAAGTATCTCATATTGTACACACTTAGCTTCCTTGTTTCTTTTCATTACCTTTCTCAGTTTTTTTTTTTTTAAGTTGGATCTCTTTATTCTTGACATTATTCTGTTTGTATTTCGGTAGCATTTTGGAGTCACATAGTTCATGTTTAAATGCTACATTAAAAATGTTTATGTTTATGTGTGTGAGTACATATGCTGCCTAGCACCAAACTATTCCATATTTTAAGGAAATTGCCACTTCATTTGATTGCAAGTAGAATGTGCTGGAAATTGCTTTGCAAAGCCAGTTGAAATGAGATTCACAGATGGTTCTAAATATGAAGGTGGTAAGGGCATTTATTATACATGCCATTAGTCATCAAGTATTTTCATTTCTATCATTTGAAGAGAAAATAAGAGACAAAGTTAACTAAATTATTTGAAAGAAAATTGAGTACATGAGGAAGGCTGTGAGTAACAGCTACTACCTCTCCAACAGGGCAGGTCCCACGCTATACTCTGTATTCATGACCTCATTCAACACTCTCTGTCACTGCCTGACTAAAAAGAGAAAAACAAATTCTCTTCACATTCCAAGAAAGGAAACTTGAGTCTTTCTGGGAAGAAATGGACCATAATGATGTGAGGAAAGGATGGAGGGAAGCCCTGGTCCCACTCCCACTTCCTGTGTTCCCACTCCCACTTCCTGTGTTCCCACTCCCACTTCCTGTGCTCCCACTCCCACTTCCTGTGCTCCCACTCCCACTTCCTGTGTTCCCACTCCCACTTCCTGTGCTCCCACTCCCACTTCCTGTGTTTTTCTTCTCTGTTCCTCCACTGCCTTAGTCTTTTGTGGCTCATTAATCCTACATGGAACTCTTGGGAGATAATGCTGATGCAGACTATGCATTCAGCCTAGGCTAGTCACATTTTATTTTTTACTATGACACAATATTATTACCATCCCTCAATGTCCACAGAGGATTGGTTCCAGGACTCCCTGCAGATACCCAAACCCCTCTTATGAAATATTATAGTCTTTGCTAATAATCCCTTTTACATCATGTATAATACCCATTTCACCATAAATATAACACACATCATTATTATGCATTGGACATCATTCATGAAATAATGACAACACAAAACTGTTCACTTTCAATGAACATGTAAGAACTAAAAAATTTTTCAAAGAATTTGTGGAAGTGGTACTCCAAATGTGGAAAGGTTTTCCTTTTTTTTTTTTCCCCATAAGAAATGGAAAACAAACTATTTGAATTAATTACATTTTTCAATGGTAGTTTTTTTTTTTTTTTTTTTTGAGAGCAAATAGTAAGCTTCTGGTGGCCTGATACTCTTGCAGCAAGGTAAGGAGTTTGCTTCTCATTCAGTGTGGTTTCCCTTTGCTGGCCTATGGGGGGTGTGTGAAAGAAAATTGGAAAGATGATTCTGAGAACAATAGATGATTCTTGGCCTTGATCACCCTTCACACTTGGCTGGTGGAAGCTTTCAGGGAACAGAATCCATGAAAATCATTTGATGAGAAGGTGTTGAGTGTCGTTTGTAAGGCAGGCCTCTGTGAATGCAGCATACTGGTCTCTGTCCTGGAGGAGTGGCTTAGAAATCTAAACCAGTGGCCCTCTGCCTACAAATAAGAAAACCATAAGCCCTGGAATGCTGATAAGAACTGAGAACAAAGTTGGTGAGCTTCTTTGAGTTTTGTTGGGTTTGGATCTATGAAAAAGGAGCAAGCCAAAGTTGCAGAGCATTTGGAAATGTTGTCATCAAAACCTTTTTGGGATAGGAATTGGATAAAGGAAATGTGGAAAATGTTTAGCATCTCTCTTGTCCCACACTGAGTGGGGTGGTTGCATTACCCCCCCTGCTTGCTGTGTGACCAGCATTCAAGTGTGCCTGGTGACATGCTATTGTGGTCTAAAGTCCCTATGCCCCACCACGTCTTGATGCTACCCCTGACTTAGTGTGGATACAAAGTGGATTATCTGTGCCTTTCACCTTCAATTCAATTTAAAAATTTCTCCAGCTGCAAAACAGATGGGTTGCATCGCCTCTTTCTCTTGATATCTGTGGGTCAGTTTGACACAAACTGGGGAGGATTACTTCGCAGCTTCCAAGTAGTATGAAAGTGCAAAGGCAGATTGAAGTAATAGAATCTGGCAGCCCCACGAGCTGCTGGGCCCATGACCAGCAGTAACTGTGTAATGTCACCAACATTTGTCATGTAGATGATGACTCAGGCCCCTTTCCCATATCCCCCCAGCTTTAAAAACATCTTCCCAGCTCAAATTTAACACTCTTTTACTCTGTTATCTATTGCCTGCAGCAATAGGATCAATTTCACAAGATGTGAAGTAGGGAAATTGATTTTGGTTTATAGATTTGGTTTTTAATTTTTTCAGCATGCAGCACTGTGCAGAGAACACTGGAAATAAAACAGCCCTGTAATTCTAATCTAACATATGTAATATATGGAATTAAAAGAGAAATCACAGCTTATTTTATAGGACCACCATTTTAACCTAAAAGCTATGCTTGAAGTGTTCATGCTACGTACTACAGAGATACTTTTGCAGATTAGAATTCTTGTGTTTCCTTTGCTGGAGCATGGTTTACTGCCTCGTTATGTTATTTTACCTCCTGTGTGTGAGCAGAGAAGGAAGCTACATTGATGTGTGTGAACTTCTGCCCCCAGGCTGTAGCTTGGAAGTGGAAACTGCTCTCAAGGACCCGAGCCCTGTCCTTTTATTTTGTCATTGCACTTTCTACCTGGTACTAATTTACAATCTGAAAGTATGACATTAAAATCAAAATAGATACTCCCCCACCCATGCTGCAGAAGGCACAGAGGCAGGGTTGATGCATTGAAGAAATGCATTCATGGACAAAGGAAAGTAAGTATGAGGCCCATTTTCCTTTAAAAAAAAAAACTTATTTTTTTCCTGCTCTTCCTCTCTTGTCCTGACTTTACCCCAATCACTCTTCTGACCACTCTTTTTGTGCCATTTTTAAAAGCCTTTGTGGGATGATAAAAATAATACAGGTTAGAAAAAAATACATAAAAAGGTTCATGGGCCAGACAGGTAGCATCCCACTCTTAATGTAATCTGTCCTGGTAGAGTAACTTCAGTTTTGTTTTGTTTGCTTGTTTTTTTTTTTTTTTAGTTTTGCCTGTATATGTGTCTGTGTGCCACTTGCATGAATGTTGCCCTCATAGGCCAGAAGATACGTCCTATCCCCTAGAACTAGAGTTGCAGACAGTTGTGAACCACATGTGTGTACTGGGAATAGAACCCCCATCCTTTAGGATGCAGCTTTCACTCAGCCACTGAGTCATCTCTCCATCCCCTGGGTTTTGTACTTTGTGTGTTTGGGGGTTTAAATTCTATTTCTTAATATATACCACTTGAAAGGAAAAGTTGGCAATTTCAGTTCCTAAATTATGATATGACCATTATGAATCCTCCTTCCCTGGGGGTTAATTCCATGCTAGGGGCATAAAAGAGGTTGATGACTCCATTGGGAAAGAATATGGGTTCTTTTATATTCTTGTGTGTGTAAGTTATTTCTGCTCTGGGTCTCTGCTAAGGGCAGTTGTAATATTTACTTCTAAGTAGCATGTGAAATGGATTTAATCACTTTCTCTAGCCTCATTTGAGAAGAGGCAAATGAAAGTCCTGCCAACATTTTATCTCATTCATAGTTCTGGAAGAGGGCCCAAATTGTAAATGCTGAAAACATATATGTGTGCCTCTCACATGCAGCAATGCTGGGGACACTGATCTAAGGGGGTAGACGATGGGTTCACAGAACAGTAATTTTCAGGATTAATTTTAGAAAGGAAACTACACATAAGCCTACTTGCTGCTGTGCCATTGTGTTGCTTATAATTTAACAGTGTAGGTGTTTATAGTCATTATTTCATCTTCACACTGGTTTTGAGAACAGCACAAGGACAATGGTCTTTTTAGAGCTAAGCCTACAAAATGTCACAGATTAAAAATGTACTTTCATGGCCTTCCAATCCGTTGCTTTTGAAATACAGAGCACATGTCCTTGCATTCAGGAAAACATGTGCTTCTCTAAGGAAAAGGCGAAAGTGCTATTCATTTACTCTCTTTCCTACCATGCCAGTGCTATTTAGGACGTCAGAACTTCAATGCGTAGTGACCTAGAAGAGAGTAGATGTGTTCTAAAGCTTTAATACCTACTCCTTGCTTGAAGTCTAAGTAAATCGTGGCCCAAAAGACTCTGACTCGGAGTAGTTTTTGACATGGACCAGAATTATCCGTGTGTTTTTAAAGAGCAGTACCTATGTAGCCCCTTTTCAACTTTTAAATGCATCTTATACTTTCAAATTTCTGTGTGTTGCAGACCAAACCTTATCTCAGAGCCACAGAATTGAATAACAACTATGTTTTCTTACTTGAGGGTTTTCTATGGAATGCTTTCTGGAGAAATTCAAGAAGGGAAAGGGAAAGGAAGGCCTTACTTGCCAAGGTTGGCTAAATCTGGTTCATCGCCTGTTTGTGCAAATAAAGCTTCACTGGAACACAATCACACTCTTTTGTTTTCATATTATATTGGGCTACAATAGAGTTGATTAATTGCAATGAGTATTTCATAGTCCTACAGTCTAAGATTTATATTATTGTACCTTTCTGGAAAAGATTTTTGACTGATGTATCTGGAAGGGTAAATGGATATAGCTTGATCCAATATCAAGCTGTCAATTGGAACCTAGGTTTGACACAATTTGATTTTTAAGTTGCAACAAACCTCATTCAGATAGACTTCTATGGATTGCAGTAAAGCATATAGTAATATGACTATAGTATGACTACTGAAATGGAGATAGAAGGATAGGAACTATGTTGGGTGTTTCTTCTTAGCTACAATAATGTGGGC